ACAATTTTGTTCATTCAAGATGGCTTCCAGTTTGACGTTGCAGTGGTATCTGATGTGAGGAGTGGATCTCTGCAATCCCATGCCAAACCCTCCTTGTTGGAGAGCCCCCCTAGAAGATAAGTCACCCTGTAGGGGTGACAAAGGAGGGGTACCCTGCAGGTCACAGAGTGTGGCAGCTCTCCAGCTGAACCCAGAGATTTCCTCCCATCCAATGATGAAAAGGAGAGGCAGCCATTAGGGCTGCCATTAAGCAGGGGCAGCCGAAGAAATAAAGAAAGTACTGGAACAGTGTAGAAGAACGCTGATTGGAACTGGGTGAGCCGATTCTTTTTTTTTAACCTGGAACTTAACCCCAAAGAAAATAAACCCTGGAAAAGAAACTCTTTGAAATACTCGTCAAAGTGGTGATTAATTACAGAGACAAAAATTATAGACCAGGGGGGAGGGGGGAAATAAAAAAGAAGAATGCAAAATCCTTAAAATACAGAAAGATTGGTTCTCTAAATTTCATTGGCATTATTTTGGTAAGGCATTTTAAAATGTTGGAACCACTTGTTTGAAATACTGACTATTTTTTAGAAATGGAAATAAAGATTGGTCATTTGTACAAAGTTGAAATCTAAGCTGATGGCACCATCTACTGGTGAATGGAATATTTATTAATATTTACTAAGCTACAATCTTGGGAAGTACGGATAAGACAAGGATACAGCAGTGGATCTACATAATACATGGAGGTCTGTTGTGTTATTTACTGTGCTATATTTTTACTTTATGGCTACTGGAGGTTAACTGTGAGAGCATGAAAGACATTTAAAGCAAGTGATTTCCAAATACTAGGATCTATGACTAAATTTACGGAATGGATTTAAGGAGACATTTGGAAAACTTCCTGGATCATTAATGGATCTAATTAACTAACTGTGGGATACAAAGAGTTTTAACCATTGCATCCCCCTGAGGAGCAACACCAGAACTGAACACATGGTTTATAAGCTAGCTTTTGGAGGCTACAGACAATTGAGACTCTGGGGTGGTGGCAGACTGCTGATAGGCTATTGAGCAATATTTGGACCTATTAAAAGACAAGGTTGCAATGGGGAGGGGGGATGACTGGATTTCAAAAAGAAATAGTGTGGATGTTTTAAAGTATTTATGATATGTTGACAAAGAATTACAGGGAGATAAAAGACTTAATGCAGGACATTCTGCAGAAATTACAAAATGTTCATCAAGGGACAACGAACAAAGATCAGAAAACAGAGGAAATAACAGAATGACAAGAAGAAAAAACAGACCAGATAAAGCAATAAGAACAAGAAAAGAAAGAGAAGACAATAAAGACGTATGAACCAAACCAGGGACAATATAGATTAAGATACCAAAATATGGGATTGGAGATGGCAGCAAAAGATAGTAGAAATTGAAGAAATATTTGGGATAAATAGGAAAGATGTAGACAGAGACAAAGACCCAAGTGAGTTTGGGAGGCAAGCCAAAAAAACAAATAAAAATTGAAATACTAATGTGGACAAAAGATGATGGTTAGAAAAGGAAATTGTTTAATATAAGATTGGTATTATTGAAAGCTAGAACAGAAGTAAGAAATAAGATTAAGGGGTAATATTATCACATTCCAATCTATTTAAAATTGAAGGCATATAAAACAATGGTATGCGTAGTAGCTTTATATGGTACTGAGTGCTGGCCATTACCAAATTCATTGAGCACTCTTTTTAGAGCATGTACATGCTTTATTGGTCATTAGGTGTTTCTTTTGGCCATGTCAGCAGTGAGACAGTACAGCATCAAATGAGCATTGCACCACTACCTAAGAAAATGCAGGAGAAATGCCTACAGTAGTATGACCATGTCCTATGAATAACACTCCCACTGTTGCCTGCATTACCTTCCACTTTTTCCTGCATTGTCCAACACAGATGACAAGTGTCCAGGTAGAAGGCCAAAGGAAAGATAGCAAGATACAATAATAATAAAAAAAACCCAAGTTGGATCCAGAAACTGCATTTGTTCATTCATGGTATTTGTCAATCTAAAAAGTGGATTTTGAACCTGCAGGAATAATAATAATAATAATAATAATAATAATAATAATAATAATAATAA